TCACTGGCTTCGGGTTCTATGGGAACTCCGAAGTTAAGCGAGTAGCGCGCGAGAGCACTCCCATGATGGGTGACCCACTGGGAAGTTCTCGTGTGAGTTCCCAGAAACAAAACCGTAAGGGCATGGTCAGGACCCAAAACGAACAATATTGTGCTAGGGTGGTGGAGCAAAAGAAAAGTAGGAACCTAGAGAGTGGAGAACATGGGGTGTCCACTATGAAGTGGAATTGCGATTGTCCTCCACTTATGGCCTTTGTGGTTTTGAAAAATTATTACCATTGGTTGAAGGCAACACACGACAAAGGTGGAGACAGACAGACAGAGAGCAAGAGAAGAAAGCAGAGAGCGACAGAGGGAAAAATAAAGGATGGAAGCAACAGAGCAGAAAGAAGCATGCTCCTTTCTTTGAGGAGAAGATTAGAGAGCTAATCTTGTAGAAAAAAAGTGTTTTCTTTCTTTGATTTTTAATGGATAATTCCTTATGTATTAAAACAAGTATGTATAACTATTTTCTTTTGCTAGAGTGAGACCATGAGTGTAAGTTCCCACATCACCCAGGGGGGTGATCCTTATATTATATTCCCGTCTCTACTTAGCACGAGGCCTTTTGGGAGCTCACTAGCTTCGGGTTCTGTGGGAACTCCGAAGTTAAGTGAGTAGTGCGCGAGAGCACTCCCATGATGGGTGACCCACTGGGAAATTCTCGTGTGATTTCCCAAAAACAAAACCGTGAGGGCATAGTCAGGGCCCAAATCGGACAATATCGTGCTACGGTGGTAGAGCGGGCCCGGGATGTGGTGGGGTCCCGGGACTGGGATGTGACAATTTGGTATCAGAGCCTAACCCTGGTTGTGGTGTGCCGACGAGGACATCGAGCCCCTAAAGGGGGTGGATTGTAAGTTCGCACATCGCTCATGGGAATGATCCTTATATGTATATTCCCATCTCTACTTAGCACGAGGTCTTTTAGAAGCTCACTGGCTTCGGGTTCCATGGGAACTCCAAAGTTAAGCGAGTAGCGGGCGAGAGCACTCCTATGATGCGTGACCCACTGGGAAGTTCTCGTGTGAGTTCCTAAAAACAAAACGGTAAGGGCGTGGTCAGGGCCCAAAGCGGACAATATTGTGCTACAGTTGTGGAGCAAGAGAAAAGTAGGAACAAAGAGAGTGGAGAACATGGGGTGTCTACTATGAAGTGGAATTGCGTTTGTCTTCCATTTATGGCCTTTGTGGTTTTGAAAAATCATTACGATTGGTTGAAGGCAACACACGACAAAGGTGGAGACGGACAAACAGAGAGCAAGAAAAGAAAGCAGAAAGCGACATAGGGAAAAATGGAGGATGGAAGCAACAGAAGAGAAAAAAGCATTCTCCTCTCTTTGAGGAGAAGATCGAAGAGCCCATCTTGTAAAAAAAAGGTGTTTTCTTTCTTTGATTTTTAATGGATAATTCCTTATGCATTAAAACAAGTATGTATAACTAATTTTCTTTTGCTAGAGTGAGACCATGAGTGTAAGATCCCACATCGCTAAGGGAAGTGATCCTTATATGTATATTCCCATCTCTACCTAGCACGAGGCCTTTTGGAAGCTCACTGGCTTCGGGTTCCATGGGAACTCCGAAGTTAAGCGAGTAACGCGCGAGAGCACTCCTATGATGGGTGACCCACTGGGAAGTTCTTGTGTGAGTTCCCAGAAACAAAACCGTGAGGGCATGGTCAGAGCCCAAAGCGGATAATATTGTGCTAGGGTGGTGGAGCGGGCCCGGGATGTGGTGGGGTCCCGGGATTGGGATGTGACAATTTGGTATCAGAGAGGGGCCCAAGACTGGGATGTGACAATTTGGTATCAGAGCCTAACCCTGGCCATGGTATGCCGACGAAGACGTCGGGCCCCTAAGGGGGTGGATTGTAAGATCCCACATCGCCTAGGGGAATGATCTTTATATGTATATTCTCATCTCTGCCTAGCAAGAGGCCTTTTGGGAGCTCACTGGCTTCGGGTTCCATGGGAACTTTGAAGTTAAGTGAGTAGCGGGCGAGAGCACTCCCATGATGGGTGACCCACTGGGAAGTTCTCGTGTGAGTTCCCAGAAACAAAACCGTAAGGGCGTGGTCAGGGCCCAAAGCGGACAATATCGTGCTACGGTGGTGGAGCAAGAGAAAAGTAGGAACATAGAGAGTGGAGAACATGGAGTGTCCATTATGAAGTGGAATTGCGCTTGTCTTCCACTTATGGCGTTTGTGGTTTTGAAAAATCATTATCATTGGTTGAAGGCGACACACGGCAAAGGTGGGGACGGACAAACAGAGAGCAAGAGAAGAGAGCAGAGAGCGACAGAGGGAAAAATGAAGGATGGAAGCAACAGAGCAGAAAGAAACATGATCCTCTCTTTGAGGAGACGATCGGAGAGCCCGTCTTGAAAAAAAAAGGTGTTTTCTTTTTTTTTATTTTTAATGGATAATTCCTTATGTATTAAAATAAGTATGTATGACTAATTTTCTTTTGCTAGAGTGAGACCATGAGTGTAAGATCCCACATCGCCCAGGGGAGTGATCCTTATATGTATATTCTCATCTCTACCTAACACTAGGCCTTTTGGGAGCTCACTGGCTTCGGGTTCCATGGGAACTCCGAAGTTAAACGATTAGCGCACGAGAGCATTCCCATGGTGGGTGACCCACTGGGAAGTTCTCATGTGAATTCCCAGAAACAAAACCGTGAGGGCATGGTCAAGGCCCAATGCGGACAATATCATGCTAAAGTGGTGGAGTGGGCCAGGGATGTGGTGGGGACCCGGGACTGGGATGTGACAATTTGGTATCAGAGGGGGGCTCGGGACTGTGATGTGACAATTTGGTATCAGAGCCTAACCCTGGCCGTGGTGTGTCGACGAGGATGTAAGGCCCCTAAGGGGGTGAATTGTAAGATCCCACATCGCCTAGGGGAATGATCCTTAGATGTATATTCCCATCTCTACCTAGCACGAGGTCTTTTGGGAGCTCACTGGCTTCGGGTTCCATGGGAACTCTGATGTTAAGCGAGTAGCGGGCGAGAGCGTTCGCATGATGGGTGACCCACTGGGAAGTTCTCATGTGAGTTCCCAAAAACAAAACCGTGAGGGCGTGGTTAGGGCCCAAAGCGGACAATATCGTGCTTCGGTGGTAGAGCTGGCCCGGGATGTGTCGTGTGAGTTCCCAGAAACAAAACCGTGAGGGCGTAGTCAGGGCCCAAAGCGAACAATGTCGTGCTTCGGTGGTGGAGCGGGCCCGGGACTGGGATGTGACAATGAGTCTCAACATGATTACGTAGATTTCTTTTTTAATTGCTTAAGTGTTGTTACATGCTTGCTTTGATATTTTCAATCACTCAATTAAACTATCCATGTGCCTTGGTACTAGATCACCATTAGGATATTTAGAAAAATCATTGGATGCAATTTTGAACCAATATCACGTTAAAATTGGTTCTTATGATGGAGGATTGTAATTTCTCCTAAGGTAAATATCATACTCTTAGGGATTGCATGGTTTACCAAAAGGATTTTCACCAAGATTAATGAATCACGCATGTTTATATTTAATCCAAATGTCATGGATGAATTGCATGTAGTGGTATGCGTTTTAGTTTGAATGTCACAAGTAAAACTACACAAGGAAAAACCCAACCTTCAAAGTATGTGTGTTTTTGATTCCTTAAGCAATTGGAAGAGATACGTAGGAGTGTTGTTGGTAAAGGTTGAACTCCAGTGCCTTGTCAATCTAAGTTTCTTCAATCATTTACTTTATCTTGAGTTTCTACATTTACTTGTTTTGTTTAGTTGGATCACTATTTCTATAAGCCAATTCCCATTTTAGATATTTGTTTAAGTCATGTGCAGTAGGATTCAGTTTTGTCAAATTAGTGCAATTCTTAGAGTTAATTAAGTCAAATAATCCAAAAACTCATAAATTGTTTATGACAGTCCCTGAGGAGATCGACCTTTCTTGAACCATTCTATACTACAAAAACTTGTTCTCTTGCAAGAATTTTCTATGGCTTAACCCTTGTTTTACAGGTAGTAAAATCTCTATCACTGAAGACGGTGAAAATTTGCATCAACATAATTGAAAAAAACCCTAAACAATTCAGCCAATAAAAAATATATATCATTAATATTTGTGTTAGTTTTTTTCCTTCCACCAATCTGTTCAAACTTGAAGGCTTGGGCAATCAAGCCAAATTTTCACAATTAAAGTTAGCGGCAAACGGCAAGTATTTGGCGTTTTGGGATGAGGACAAGGGCTGAAAAGTTGGTTTCAATCACAGTTGGATTAGTCTTATCTTGCAATGTATTACGTATGTGTCTTTCTCTATCATTATCAATGGTGAAGCTCCTGGTTATTTCTATCCTTATATTTCAGTTTGTCTTCCCCCTCCCATCCCCTCGTCTTCCTCGTAAAACCCAGAAAAATAAAATAAAATAAAAAAATAAAAAAACCCAGATCCCGTCGACGGGAAGATGGGTGCGTGGAGAAGGTGGAGGATGGGTGCGAAAGAGGATGTGGAGAATGGATGAGAGTGGTGGATTTGGGGTTGGCAGGGGGTTAGGTTTTTTTTTTTTTGGGGGGGGGGGGGGTTTGGGGAGGGGTGGAACTGGTTGGGTTGGGTTTTCTTCTTCTTCTTCTTCTTTTTCTTTTTGGGTTGCAGGGGGTTGCGGGGGGAAGACAAATTGGATTTTTTTTTTTTTTGGGGGGGGGGGGGTGGTGGTGGTTTCAGGTGGGGGGAAGAAGATGAAGATAGGGAGAAAAGAGAGGAGGGGGGGAGGGACAAACGAGGGTTGTTTTTTTTTTGTTTTTTTTTTTATTTTAATATTTAAAAAATATTAAATATTTTTTTTTAGTTTTTAATATTATTTTAATGATTTTTTGATAAAAGGTGGGTTCCAAATCAAACCACGTCAGCATTTAACTGAAAAGTAAACGGCCAAGTAACGGAAGTTATAACATTGGACCAAATTCTAAAGATGAGGTATGATATTGTCAATTTTATAAGAAGAGGTATGAAAATGTTGTGACACCAATAGTTGAGGTAATTTTTTGTACTTTATCCAAAAATTAAAAGAAATCTTAGCACTTGGCAGAAAGCCATATTTACAAAACAACTATAAAATTCAGGACCTAACCTGCAATGCCTCCAAAAAAGGAGAAATTTTTCTTTTTGCTCGTAACACAAGTGGTATATCACGTTTTATTACATAAGTGGTGAAAAATTTTCTTTTTTATGTTAATAATTTTTTAATACAAAAATTTCATCACCAGTATAAAAACACGTATTACGGTTACATTTACAAATCTCTCCAAATAAACGCTTCACCAAGTCTGCCATAACTCTATACAAAAAACCAGAGCAATTACTTATCCAATAGGTTATTGAAGAAGATGAACTCTCAAAGCGTCAAACACATATCAGAGTGTTTTGTCAATCCACACCATGTCTCAGAGGAATCACAGCAGCTATTGTACTTGGCACCGACCGACCTCGTCATGCTCTCTGTCCACTATATCCAGAAAGGCCTCCTCTTTGCCAAACCTCCGGAAGCCATGGATCGCCGCCACAAGGCCGAGTTCGTCAATTCCCTTTTGGACAGGCTCAAGCACTCTCTCTCCCTCGCCCTTGTTCATTTTTACCCGCTCGCCGGCCGCCTCGCGACGAAGAAAGAAGAAAACCCACCTCTGTATTTGGTTTATGTAGATTGCAGCAACAGCCCCGGAGCCAGGTTCATCTATGCAACTCTGGATGCGTCGGTTTCGAACATTCTTTCACCAACTGACGTGCCCTTGGTGGTTCAGTCGTTTTTCGATCACGACAGAGCTGTTAACCACGACGGCCACACGGCGTCATTGCTGACGGTTCAGGTGACGGAGCTTGTGGACGGCATATTCATAGGGCTGTCCATGAATCACTGCCTTGGTGATGGGACTTCTTTCTGGCATTTCTTCAACACTTGGTCCGAGCTCTTTCAGGCAATAACACAAGGAGTGCATGACAATACCATCGTCCCCGGAATCTCCAGACCGCCTGTTCTCAAGCGGTGGTTTCCGGACGGTCACGGCCCAATCATCAGCCTCCCTTACACAAACCCAGATGAGTTCATCGGCAGATTCGAAGCTCCCGAACTCAGAGAGAGAATGTTCCACTTCTCCTCAGAATCCATAGCCAAACTCAAAGCAAAGGCCAACTCAGAGTCCAACGCCACCAAAATCTCATCTTTCCAGTCCCTCTCCGCCCTTCTATGGCGGTCCATCACCCGTGCACGGCGTCTTCCTTCGAATCAGTCAACCAGATGCGGGTATCCTCCAAAACTTCGAAAATCCTCGAAATTTCCATTTCTTACAATGCGATTCACATTAGATTTCCATATTTCTGTTTTTAGGTTGGCTGCGAATAGCAGAGCAAGACTAGACCCACCATTGTCCGGAGACTACTTCGGGAACTCGATTCACAGGATCATCTCAGAAGCCGTGGCGGCCGGTGAACTCCTCCAACACGGCCTCGGGTGGGCGGCGTGGAAGCTGCACGAGGCGGTGGTGAAGCTCGACGACAGGGAGATACGAGGATTCCTTGACGCCTGGCTGCAGTCACCGACGGTGTGCCTAATCGGCCAGTTTTTCGACCCGTACATGGTGATGATGGGCAGCTCGCCGAGGTTCAACATGTACGGCAACGAATTCGGAATGGGAAAGGCGGTGGCGCTGCGGAGCGGGTACGCAACTAAATTTGGCGGGAATGTTTCATCGTATGAAGGAAGGGAAAGGGGAAGCATAGACTTGGGGGTTTGTCTTCCTCCTGATGCAATGAGTGCTCTTGAATGTGATGAGGAGTTCATGGAATTTGCATCTGTACCACAATATTACTGATCATGTGCCAGCACCATTCGTTCCGCTCTGCATTCCTTAATTGGTTGTAGCTTTGTATTACAACGCATGGGGTTGAGCCGCTTGCATAAGTTCGGACTTATCACTGGTTAGTGTTAGACCAAGTCAATCTTATCCCAAACTAAGCTCCGCAACAAACTCTTCATAGGATAAGATTGCTAGGTCAGGTTTCAGTTTTGAATAATTCAAAGATAAGCTGTTGTGATTTTGTATTTTTGAATTCAAAGTTCTCCATGTAAATAGGGTATTCAAAACCCTACTTGTAATCTGAAAGTATTGTATAAATAGACTGCGACCCATCATTATATGGGTGTGCAACTAAAGCTGAAAACCCGAGTGCTCTAAGTTTTACATGGTATTGAGCCCTACAGTCTAACGACAAACGATCTAATTTTTTTTTCAACCCACTGTCGCTTCCATGGCTGACACCAACAACACCAACTCCACCACTCACATCAATCCTTCCCCCCTACCCGCTGCTCATTCCTCCATCACCTCTATGACTAGTGTGGTTAATATCAAACTTGACCGCTCGAATTATCCGCTTTGGCTTGCTCAGATTTTGCCTGTTTTCAAGAGCCGTGACCTGATGGGTTACGTTGATGGCTCCATTGTGTGTCCTCCTAAGAATTTGGCTGGCTCCACTGCCGTTAACCCAGCCTACATGACTTGGATTCAACATGATCAGATGATTCTCAGTTGGATCAATAGCTCTCTCACTGCTTCTGTTTTGTCAACAGTAGCAAGCAAACGCACGTGCCGTGCAACCTGGGAAGCATTGGAACAACGGTATGCGTCAACTTCCCAAAATCGTATATTGTTTCTGCGTACAGAACTGCTGCAGACGAAGAAGGGTGACCTCTCTGTAGCTGACTACTTGGATCGTATGAATGCGATCGCCGACAACCTTGCTTTGGCTGGACAACCAGTAAGTGATGATGAACTGGTTCAAATTATTTTAAATAATCTTGGTCCTGCGTTCGAGATGACTGTGAATGCAGCACAAGCTCGTGATACTCCAATCACTTATCTAACACTTGAAGCTCTTCTGCTGACCACGGAGAGACGGATGACGGAGCAAGCTGTGCCGACTGAAACTGCTCCGATCAATGCTTTTGTAGCATCACGAGGCCGTGGTGGTCGCTCTCGTGGCACTGGACGTGGAGGCTCTCCGTTCAATCGTGGTGGTGCCATCAACAATGGCAATCAATGAGGTGGCATTCCTCGCAACAACAACTATCAACGTGGTGGTGCGTCTGCAAGTAATGGTGACCGGTGTAACCTTTCTGGTGAACGCATCAAATGCCAAATTTGTGGCAAACCTGGCCATCCGGCTCTGGACTGTTACCAGCAGATGAATACAGTGTATGAAGGACGCATTCCCACCAATCGTCTTGCTGCCATGGCATCTTCTCAAGTGATGCCTACTAATGGAAATTGGCTTCTTGACACGGGTGCCAATGCTCATGTCACCCCAGACCTTCAGAATATTGCAAATCCAAAAGAATACACTGGTAATGAAAACATTGGTGGAGTAGGTAATGGTTCTCAACTTTCCATTGCACATTCTGGTTCGAATCAAATTTCAACTAAGTCTTGCTCATTTAACCTCCATGACATTTTACATTGTCCATCCGCATCCACTAATATCATTTCAGCACACAGATTCACCCTAGATAACCATTGCTACATACTAATATTTCCTTATTTCTTCCTTGTTAAGGACCTCAAAACACGGAAGACGTTTTTCCGCAGGAGATGTGAGAATGGATTGTATCCATTTCCTGGTGGCGGTGGATTGTCCAACTATCCTATTTCAGTGTGTGTCGGTGTTAGAGTCTCGCCTCAGAAATGGCATTTACGTCTTGGTCATCCTGCTTCGTCAATTATTAAATTTTTGATTGCAAATAACCAAGTACCATCATCTGGTACAAGTACTGTAACGTTTTGTGACTCTTGTCCATTAGGCAAAAGCACTAAACTTCCCTTTAGCAAGTCTGTGTCCGTGTCTTATTGTCCTTTAGAACTTTTGCATTCTGATGTTTGGAGTTCACCTATTATTTCTAATGAAGGTTTTCGTTATTACTTGTTGTTTGTGGATGACTACTCACGCTATTCGTGGATCTTTCCTATGAAAAATAAATCTGAAGTGTTTGGAATTTTTGTGACATTTAAAACCCATGTTGAAAAAATGTTTAACAAATCTATTAAAGCCCTTCAATGTGATGAAGGTGGTGAATACATGAGTCGCGCTTTCAAAACTTTTCTTGCTACACATGGGATTTCCCAACGTTTTTCGTGTCCAAAACATCCTGAACAAAATGGAATTGCCGAACGAAAGCATCGTCATATAGTTGAAACAAGTGTTACAATGCTTTCTCATGCTCATATGCCTCAAAAATTTTGGTTTGATGCATGTTTCACAGCTGTTTATATTATAAACAGGCTTCCAACAAAGGTTTTATTTAACGTGTCTCCCTATGAAAAATTGTTTCAAAAGAATCCAAAATATGAGGCATTTAAAGTGTTTGGTTCAAAATGTTTTCCATTGTTGACTCCTTATACACGGCATAAACTTCAACCAAAATCCAAACCATGTGTTTTCTTAGGATACTCACTGAATCATGAAGGATACAAGTGCTTGGACTTATCCACGAGACGCATTTACGTGTCTCACCATGTTTTATTTGATGAGGATTCCTTTCCTTTCAAGGAACTTGCATCTCCCAAGGAAGACGTCACTATCACAGGTATATCTTTTACCCCTAACTTGATTTTAACCACAACACCCTCACCCACCTTGGTACTTTCCATATCTTCACCCAATCTTGTCGAATCTCACCCTAGCCTCAACCACCAGCCTGAGTCAAACTTGGTGTCTAGTGACCAGCCGCATATCACGCCAACTTTTACTCCGCAACAAACTGTTTCAGATTTGGACCTTAATCCTAATGCACCTATCACTACCATCCCTAGTTTAAATAGGACACCTCAACCTAGTTCCACATTAGGTCCCACCCATGAGCAAGTCTTGGTTCACATTCCATCCGTGCAAAGTTCTCAGAATCCTTCTCCTTCATCAATTTTATCTACCACGTCATCTTCCATTCGAGAGACTCATCTCCCATTCGAGAGACTCATCTCCTCCACTCAATAACAACAAGGTCAAAATCTGGGATTCAAAAGCCAAATCCAAAATACGCTTTGCATGCAATCACTGACTCCACGTTTGTTGAGCCGTCTTGTTTTAGTCAGGCTATTAAATATCCAGAATGGAGGGCAGCAATGGCACAAGAGTTCAGTGCTTTGCAAAGGTGTGGAACGTGGACGCTTGTTCCTTATTGTCCTGGAATGAACCTGCTGCCAAACAAATGGGTGTTTAAAATCAAGCGACGTGCAGATGGTTCTCTTGAACGTCACAAGGCTCGACTTGTGGCTAATGGTTACCATCAGCAATCCGGAGTGGATTATAATGAAACATTTAGTCCAGTCGTGAAACACAGCACCATTCGGCTTGTTTTGAGTCTTGCCGTGTCGAAGAAGTGGACGGTGCGACAGTTGGATGTATAGAATGCATTCTTGCATGGCTATTTGGATGAGGATGTGTACATGAAACAGCCGCCTGGTTTTCTTGATCAACAATATCCTAATTATGTGTGTAAATTGCAGAGAAGTTTGTATGGATTAAAACAGGCTCCCAGAGCCTGGTTTCGACGATTCTCGAATTATCTGCTTCAACTTGGGTTTGAAGAATCATTATGTGATTATTCCTTGTTCGTGTTTAATCAACGAGGCATTTACTTGATCTTACTTATCTATGTGGATGACATTCTTCTTACAGGCAATAATGATAAACAAATGCAATGGTTGATAGAGAAGCTCGGCACTTTGTTTTCTATGAAGAACTTAGGTTCTTTAAGTTATTTTTTGGGTGTCGAGGTTACTTATTCTGGGGAGAATATGCATCTTACACAGTCCAAGTATGCGTTGGATCTGCTGGAGCGCATCAAGTTTACTGCTGTAAAACCAGTATCCACTCCTGTACCTGCGGGACAAAAGCTCAGTCAGTATGATGGTGAACCTTATTCTCATCCAGAACAATATCGAACGGTTGTTGGAGCGTTACAATACTTGACGATCACTAGACCCGATCTTTCTTATGCTGTGAACCAGGTTTGCCAGTTCATGCATATGCCTCGGACTACACATTGGATGGCGGTTAAGAGGATTTTGCGGTATTTAAAGGCCACACATGACCACGGTCTTGTCTACAAACCTGGTGATGTTCGGTTAAATGCTTTCTCTGATGCTGATTATGCGGGAAATCCGGACACACGTCATTCAACTGGTGGCTTCTGTATCTATTTGGGCACGAATTTGATTTCCTGGAGTTCGAAGAAACAGAAGACTGTCTCACGATCTAGCACAGAAGCTGAGTATAGGCAGCTTGCCTATACTGCAGCTGAGTTGTCATGGTTAGGAAGTTTGTTTCGAGATCTCCATCTCTATCTGCCACGGCCGCAGATATGGTGTGATAATGTTTCCTCCATTGCTTTGGCTTCCAATCCTGTTTTCCATGCACGGACGAAACACTTGGAAGTGGACTACCATTATGTACGAGAAAAGGTGGTGCGTGGACAGCTTTTGGTTCATTTTATTTGTTCCCAAGACCAGATTGCGGATTTGTTCACAAAGGGTCTCTCCTCTTCACGCTTCAACTTGTTAGTTTCCAAGCTTCCCGTCGTTGCTCGACCTGTCAGCTTGCGGGGGAATGTTAGACCGAGTCAATCTTATCCCAAACTAAGCTCCGCAACAAACTCTTCATAGGATAAGATTGCTAGGTCAGGTTTCAGTTTTGAATAATTCAAAGATAAGCTGTTGTGATTTTGTATTTTTGAATTCAAATTTCTCCATGTAAATAGGGTATTCAAAACCTTACTTGTAATCTGAAAGTATTGTATAAATAGACTGCGACCCATCATTATATGGGTGTGCAACTAAAGCTGAAAACCCGAGTGCTCTAAGTTTTACAGTTAGTACTAAGTAACCACGTTTACGGTACATGCGGTTATTTATTCAATAAAACTTAAGGACTTCTGTTGACCACTTATGCAATTACATGAGTATATACCTGTTCAACCCATAATTTATAAACGGGTTACGGTTACAACTGCGAATACCTGCTGATATAGAATTTTACCAAGGCATGATATATATACACACACACTAGCCTCTCCGCACGCTCTCACGCGCATGGGAGAGATATTTTTACATCATGGGCACTACGCGTCCTAAGGATGTGTTGCT